GCTTACCTTCCTCGGGCCAGCAGATGACCTTGGAGGACTTGCTGCACATGCTGGAAGGCAAGTACTGCAGTTTCAGACCCCAGGAAAGGAGGAAAGTCGCCTCTGCCCCAGGCTCCGCCCTCCCTGCCACATCCGAGGCCTCGCCCCTGTGCACACCCCCGATGCCACATCCCCAATGCCATGCCCCTGAAGCCTGCCGGAAGTCCAGGGCACTGCCCCAAAGACCCACCCCAGAGGAGCCACCCGTGTTAACTGTGCAGAGTGGGGACGAGGTGAGGCAGGTAAAAGCCTGATGCAGAAGGGAGGCTGAGAAGGAAGGCCTGACTCTCCCCAGAAGGAGGCTGGTCCCCATGCCCTGGCTCCTGTGTGTGAGTGTGTGCATGTGCATCCACGCACGTGTGACCCAGAGGTGTGCGTGTGTGACAGCATGTGTGTTGTGTCCACTTCTGTGTATGTGAACATGTTGTGTGCCTGTGCGTGGGTGCATGGATGTGTATGCTCGTGGGTGCATGTGCACCTGTAGGGGTGTGTGTGGCCGTGTCACAGGCACATGCATGTGAGCACGTGTGCTGCCCTCCCCCATGTCCACCATGATGTGAGCCTAGGTACCAAGACTGGCAGATGTCATCCGTGGGAACAGACGCTCCAGGTAGGTAGCGGATGCCCTTGATATAGCAGCCACATTGGTCTCTTCTGACGCACTTCTTCAGGTCCTCATCATAGATGGGCCTGTGCTTAGGGCACCGGGGGTAGCAGCCTGGTGGGCACAGGGCACAGGGCAAAGGGCTTGGACCACGGTGGGGGACCCCACGTCCACCAGACCCCACCCATGGGCCCCACTCTGGCAGGTCCTTCTCTGCAGGATGTCCCTATTGAAAGGCCAGGGACTGGAAAGGCAGGGACCTACATACCCCCAGCTGGGCCCTGCACACTGCCACATGGCCAAAGTGACAGCTAGGTCCTGCCCACATGCTGAGGGACAGCCAGGCCCAGCTCAGCCTCCAGGGTTGCACCCTGGGCCCCTGACCTGGTATCGTACCTCCCACGAGGTAGGAGGCTCCCTCCCCAGACTTCACGGCTCAGTCCTTCATGTCGCTAGTTCTCAGCTCAAAGGCCCTGGAGAGGCCTCCCAGATGCACTTCTGGAACCCCCCCCCCCCTCGTCCTGCTCTGCAGGTCCCCATAGCACTCTCTGCTCCTGACACCACCCAGTGCCTGTTAACCTGCTTCTTTTCTGCCTCCCCCTCAGAGGGCGGGGTCATAGGTCAGTCTCCAACCCACTGTGCAATCAACAAACAGACTCTGCAGAAGGTGAACCTGGCCCACCCTGAGACTCGGGGTCCCCAGCCCCCACAGAACCTCTCTCAGGGTGACCCCAAGGGTCTCCAGAGGACACTGCCCTTCGGCCCCAGGCCAGCAGGGCAAGCCAGGCCACTGCTCCCCAGGAGGCCCCACTCACCCTCCAGGTAGGACAAGGAGATGCTGGAGTGGATGCCGTGGATGGTCCTGCAGGTCTCCAAGCTGCGGTTCCCACAAGGCTCGTAGTGCCACTCACACTCGTGCGGGGGGTTGTAGTAGTCGCAGAATATGGCTGGGGAGGAGGGAGCTGAGGTCAGACTTGGAGAGTGCCAAGGCCAGGTCGGGGGGATGGGCTGGGAGGGGCCAGCTCCCTCCTGCCACCCCAGGCAGCACAGTGGCCCCGAGGAAGGACACTTGGATCCTTGGGTTGGGGGAGGCGGGCAGGAGACCACATACACCCCATCCCTTGCAGGGGTAAGGAGCGACACCTGACCCGATGGCACCCAGGCCCAGGACGGGTGGACACTCACGGCACAGGTCTGGCGTCCTCCAGAACACACAGGCCCCCTCCTTGGTGCACTCCTGGGCGTAGGCGGCCACAGCAGAGCAGAAGCACTCACAGTCGCCGCCCGAGTCGCAGGAGCACGAGTCGTAGACACAGGCCTCGTAGAAGGGCGTGGGGTCCACCTGGGGGAGAAGCCACCATGTGCCCTGGGCCTGTGCTGCCCTCTTGGGGCCAGGCCTCCCCTGCGGCCAGAGGATCTCAGGACCATGAGGCCAGCCCCACTCCTGGGACAGGGGGTGGTCGCCCAGCACTAGCTTCCCAGGCCTCCAGGGGGGCTGATGGGTGAGGTCCAGACACGGTTGGCCAACTCTGGCCATGCAGACCCTCAGGGTCCCGGGGTCTTCTGCCATGAGACAGGCCACCCTGCACCTGCTCCCTCGCCCCCACTGCTTGGAGATAAGGATCATCGGGTCTTAGAAGCTGTGTCCCCTTTCTCCCTCCTGGAAGGTACAGGAGGCTGTGGGTCCAGCCAGAGTTCTCAGAGGTAAAGCTGAACCTCTCGTCGTGTGTCCAAAGGAGACGGAGGATGGTGCTGAAGCTGGAGGTGACGCAGCTGAGCCACACCCAGTGTGCGCACCAGGCAGGGAGATGTTGCCCACCCGCAGCCAGTCCCGTGCCCGCCGCCCGCGCCCCCCACACCTTGCTGTGGCAGGCGCTGAAGACCGGGCTCTTGATGATGCTGCACTGCTTCTCGGCCCAGGAGCGGCGGTGTGGCTTCAGGGTGCACGGCTCGGGGGTGGCGTTCACGTCCGTGCAGGTGGGGGCCTCCTTCCAGCTGTTGCCAAAGTCCAGCTCGCTCTCCACCACCATGTGGTCCCGCGTGGTGAAGTCATTGTTGGAGCGCTGGTCGAAGTTCCCGCACAGGCCGCACACAGTGCCCTGCAGAGACCAGCGAGCCAGGGGCTTCGTGAGGGGGCTCGAGGGAGGGAGGGGTACGGCCCCGCTGTGCCTGGGAGGCACGGTGTGTGTGCAAGGCCAGCCCTGGAGAGGCCTGGTGGGCAGGGGGGGCTGCGCACCTTGTAGGAGGGGGCCAGCTTGATGAAGATGGTGGTCCTTTTGTCCCAGATGACGATGATGCCGATGCTGGCCTCCACCACCAGGTACTGGCCCACCTCCCGCGTGGTGTAGGCCACATGGTGGCCCACGTCGCGCTGGATCACCACACGGTGTTTGTCCTCCAGCTTCAGCTCTGTCCTCTGTGCCCAGGCGAGAGGCCCAGTCACTGGCCGGGTCCAAGGGTCCCCAAGGACCCTCACATCCCTGGGGATGGGCAGCACTCACCCCGATGAAGATCTTGATGGCCTTGGAGCAGGTGACGCCCGTGGTGCCACACGGGACATTCTCAGTGATGATGCCGAAGGAGCCCAGCGAGGAATTCTGGCCGCAGTAGTCCTGGGGACCCACAGCAGAGTATGAGCCAGGTCAGGTGGGCCACAGGTGCCCCGTGGGGGCCCCACCCCAGCTGAGCCTCAGCCCCTCCTCTGTCAAGAAGGGATAACCATGCCACATGTGGGACCTCACCAACCTCGCACAGTCCTCAATGCACGCCTACACCCCCCGTGCACCCGAGGGAGGGTCACAGGATGGGAGCATGGAGGAAGGGCTGGCCCCTCACACCCGCAGGAGCCTCCACTGAGAGCAGCTCAGGGCCGGCAGAGCGTGGACACAGGCGGGTGCAGGCCTTGGCGGTGCCCTTGCCTCACCTGAACGGCCACGTAGGAGCAGTTTCCATCGAAGTTGTAGTACTTCCCATCAAAGGTGATGTAGTGGCCACTCCCGTGGATGACACAGGTACCGTGGCACATAGACTGGGTGCACGCCCAGCGTCCTCTCTGGCAGGTGCTGAGGAGAGCAGGAGAGGGGCCTGGAGGCACTACAGGGCCCGGGGCCTCCCACCCCTGTTCAGAGGGCAGCCTGGCCGAGCCAGGGGCACGGTGCAGACACCTCTCCAGGCAGCTCACACACGATGCCTGCCAACCCACACCAGCTCGGCAGGTGCCACCCCAGTGCACCTCCGATCGCGGCCCTGCTGGCCCTAGCTGGCCCCACGGGAAACAGCCCCAACCCTCGGCCTGGCCTCCAGGACACGCTCCAACTGGAGGGCAGACAGGCCAGGCCACTCACCAGGTGTTGCAGTCCACCTTGATCTTGTCCCCGCGGGAGAAGAAGCCCTTGTTGTGCACACAGGGGCAGTCCTCCTCCACAACGCAGCCGCCTCGGCCGTCGTCAATGAGCCCCTCGGGGCACACGCAGCCGCTCACACACTCTGTCTGGTACTGTGGGGTGGCCACGGAGTGGGTTTCAGGCATTAGATGCCAGGCCCGGGATCTTGGCTGCCCTTGCCTGGCCCCTCCTCTGACACTGCAGACTCCTCTTGTGTCCCCCACCCTCAACCCCGCCTGCATCCCTTGACCCCTGATCCCTCTCTCTGGCCCACCCCTGGAGCCCTTCTTCCTTGGACACCTCCACTACTGGGCAGGGAGACACGTGAGTGCTGCCTGCCAGGGGCCCCTACACTGGCCCTGTGACCCTGGCAGGCTAAGCGGAGCCTGCAGGCCGCCACCAGGCCCCAGGGACAGGAGGGGTCAATGAGCCTCATGGGTCCTCAGGAACTGGCAAAGCAGCTCAGGGTCAGGGCAGGAGTCTGGCTGAACCCTCCCCTCCACAGCCACCCCAGCTGTGCCCTCTCCTCCCTGGTTGCCCCGGCAGCACCCTCCCCTCCATGGCAGTCCCAGCACGCACGTGTCCTGCAGCCAGCGTCTGGCAGCTGAGGGGGCGGGGGTTCCGGATGGTCAGCGCGGTCTGGTTGTTGCAGTCAACGTGGATCTTTGGGGCTTTGCAGGCTGCAGACAGAGAAGCCACCCCAGCTCAGCTGAAGTAGGCGGCTGGCGGGCTCAGGCAGGAAGGAGAGGGGGTAGGGGGAGCAGGCTGAGGGGCAAGGGGCAGGGGGCCCGACCTCAGGCCACATTCACTTACCCTCGCCAATCAGCTTGACTGGATTGCAGTGCAGCCTCCCATTGCGGCACACGCTGCAGGGAGAG